GCTGAACAACTCTTGGACTTACTGTGATGTATTTAAACCAGCAAATTATCCAGAATGCAGTGGTGCTTTGCAATTATTTTCATCCATGACAATGTCATAGATGTGCCTTCAGCATAGACTGTTGACTAACAATAATGATATCTGCCATCATAAAAACTAAATTTGTTGCCTTGGAATTTGCTGTGTGCATATTTTTATTTTATATATTTTCACACTACCACCCAGGGTTGTATAAAATGATTATCTTGTTGCAAATTTTTATACAAATCTTTTGACGGAAATTCATTTTTAAGAATTCACAGAACACAAGGTAACATATTAATGTATTGTGATTTATTAATTCATAGTCAAATTTCAAGTATCAAACAAGAAAATATCAATACTTTTTTTAGATTAAACAAATGTTTAAAAAGTAAAAAAACAGTGCGAGACATTTTGTTAGAAAGAAAGTTTTTTTGTTTAGTTAGTATTCTGAGATCGTGAGATGTTTCATTATGGAGATTGAGAGAAGCAAAGGAAGAAAAATGTCAGACAGTCAATAAACAACACAAGTTAAACCATTTAAACATTGTAAACAACTAGAAATGAGATTCAAGTAAAATAAGCTGATCAGCATTATAGCGGTGCTGAAATCTGAGGTCTAATGTAAACATTTTTTACAATACATACAATGTACATAATATTTAATAAATACATAAAAATAGAACATCGGATTTGTACAAAACTATTCATCAAAAATACAAAAAATAGGAATTAAAAGATAGTGTTTTCATGACAATAAATACAATAAATATCCTATAAATAAATAAATAATTCATTATTAAATGTTCTTACAGAAAACATCCGTCAGAGCTCAGACGTCCGTTCTTTTAGTAAAACTGTTGGGTTTACGTTTTGATCTGAGTGGGAAGTACTTGCATTAATAGTGGTTGGTACCGAATCTTTTACATTAGGCACATAGAAGGACGCCATAGGGCAGGGCCCTTTGACATTATTGCAAACCAAATTCTGCAGAGAGGCAGTGTTGATAATCTCAAAACCCACTTTGCCACCAAATGTGCTTGGTTTCCAGTACTCAGGGGAACAAATGGGATTTCCCATAAGTCCTTTGAGGGAGTAGGGGGCACCCATCTCCACCATGGTCTCTCCAAAGATGGCATTGAGCCTGGGTTTCTCAACCAGCAGACCAGTATAAAGCTCCACAGCATCTATGTCTCCGTACATCTCTTCAAGTTCAGCAGCCATTTCCTTTTCTCCTAAAACATGAAACAAGTTCAGTCAACTCAAATTGTCGACTGAAATACCACTGATTTTACAATATAATGCAGGGTATGCTTATAAAATACAGCAGAGCTTAGGCAAGTTAATATGAAAATGTGTGTGTGTGCTGTGCACACTAAATACTGTAATAAATATTCTATTTATATTTATCATTTTGTTGTAAAGACTTAAAAACTGCTGAAGGCAAAATAGCATTAGAAAACATCTATTTTCAGACCTAATAAATATAAATATATTAACTCTCACCGGTCATGTCTTCGAAGGATTTGAATGGCTTCATGTTGAATCGTTTCCTGTAGGCATTGATAGATTGGTAGCGCATTTGCCTGCTATCTTCAATTGACTTTATGGCCACCTTTAACACAGCCGGTGGAACATTACGCCCTCCAGCCACCTGGAGTAACAGAGAAGATTTAAGATTCACCAAATCCTCACCACCAGTGGTATAGACCTCTCCAAAATATGGTAAACTAAACGTATTTTTCTTGTCTTACCCTTCCAGCCATCTGATTGGTGAAGGACTCAACCAAGCTGTTGACGCCATGGTCTGTCAGTATAGATGTGTTAAAGAGAAACTGCTTGTAATTGTAGACTTCGTCCTGGATGTGAAATTCATCAGGCATAAGGGGGTGCCAGTGGTAAAGGGTGTTGAACTCAGAGGAGATCCTGTTCTGGTACTGGAAACGCTCGTTGAAGAGAAGTTCAGGATCAAATTTGAGCTTAAAGTTGTATCCACTAAGGTGCTGGACATAATCTTCAATCACAATTTTGATCGTCTCACCTGTAAAGTCAGAATACAGAACAAACGTTAAAACCATTGAACCATCTTGTGAGGTAAATCCATTAACCAATTCAATCTAAATGTCCTTCTCTACAGGACACTTACCAATAAGGATGAGCCGTGCGGTCTGAAACAGCCTCTCGTCATCCCAGTCTGGATGCTCCTGCTTTAGTACATCACACACTCGGTTGTGTTCACGTAGCCAGATGGTGGCATACATCATGAGTCCAGGAACCAGTCCAAAGGCCTCGTGACCCACGGCAAAACGTCGGGACTCGGGTATATGAGGAGGGTAGTGCATGTCTACTTGAACCTCACTGACTGTCGGAGGGTAAACCTCACCATCCAGAATCTGCGTAAAGCAATGACCACAAATATAGTCAAATTTTCAGATGACCAGGCTTGCGATATTAAGTAACAAGACAGGAGAAATGTCAAAATTGCCTAATAGGGAGGGAGGGTGTGGCGACTTCAGTGACCTAGAGGAGGTTATTTTAGGTAATTCCGGGGTGGAAACATTCCTTACCTTATATCTCAGTTTTCCGTCCTTGAAAAGTCTCAGCTTGTGCTGACGTTCAAGCTCCTGTCCATATATGTGACCCAAGTCAACCTAAAGACACAAAGTCAAAGTCAGTCAGATACCAAAGTGAATGTGAGATGACCATTAATTAGGGCCACTTGAAAAGGTTATACAGTATGTACAAGATACACACCCCATGATTCAGGGCTCTTGTGAAAGCTGGACCTTTCTTCATGTCAGTTTTAAAAAACTGATGTGTAAAATGTTGGGCAAAGAAAGCGAACATAAGACTGGTGCGTTGAGGATCTGGGATGAACTTCCTCCTGAGTAGCAGTTTCTCAGCCAGCAGCTTCACATCTGGCAGCTCTTTTTTGCCTGAAAAAGACAGAACAACAAATAAGTAAGAGACCTCCACTGTATATTTACATCTTCATTTTTGAGTGTTATACACCAGCCTAAAAGTGGACTTTAATTGATGGACAGAAATATCCATGTGCTTTTTCTCATCCACACACCAAAAGACATGCAGACTTCCTGTCTAACTGTGAAGCTAAAAATGCCAGAAAACAGGTCTGAGGAGAAAGAGACTCACCTGCAACTCCCATTGGTGTTGGGCAATCATTCGCGACAGGAGGCAGTGTACGAGTGTAGTAGGAGAGATTGGAATAGGCTTCCCAGCTTTTGTAACCATAGTCAGCATTGAATGTAGGGGGGCTGTCAATCAAATGGGCTCGTGCTGGACCAGGAGGAAATAAAATTTTAAAACTTTTAATTATAAATAAATTATTATTAATTAAATATTATAAATAAAAAATAATGTATACAAATAAATAAATAAATTGTAATTTAAAGTATTTCAATTATATCAAATTGAAAGGTTTTATTAAAAAGACTATTTCAGGCATGAAAAGTTTCGACTTACATGTCAGCACGTATCGCATTATGCCATTTCTCAAAAACGACACTTTGTTGACAATATTCCACAAGCTTTTGAAATGTGTGAGAATGTAATGCACCGTGTTGGGAGAAGGCTTCAGATTAACTTTAACCCATGTGAGAAACTCGGCTGTAAAAACGAAACCAAAGTAAAAAAAAAAAAAGTTAGTTTGGTATTGATTGAGAACAGGAAGCTTATTCAGCATACAGAAGTAGTTTTCACTTACGTGTTGTGCAGTTTTGACCGTAAAATCCAGTGCGTGTACAGTCACATTCATACGAGTCGGAGCTCATTTCAGTACAGACACCGCGATTCTGACATGGCTGAGAGCAACAGGGGTTGGCTGCATCGCCAAAAACAAGATTATTTTAGCCGGCTTGACTTATGGCACATAAGTAAATCATTAAAATAATTGATGAATAGAATTACAATAAAAATGAATTAAGAAATGTCTTACCTCCTTGGCAAACCATGAACCCCAGGTGCAAAATAATAAATAATATCAAACTATTCATTCCAGTGGCGTGTATTGGTATATGTCTTGGGTCTTTCCTCGCCTGTTCAGATCAGAGAATGAATTATCTTGCGAGAGGTGAAGTTATATGTGGAGTCAAATGTGACGCAACGAGCACGACTCGTCATCGCTTGCAATACTGAGAATGACATCATGTATAGCCAACCTGCTGATTATTGGATGTCATAAACTAATATCCCGAACGCTCTCGGAGATACGATAATAAACCTTATAATTTAGGCTATTTATGTTTTTCTAATGTAATTTGTCACTTATAGAAAGCAAGCACGCCAAAACGGTTTTAATAGATTGTAGCCTGCCTAAGCTAATAATAGGCTAATCATATATTTCAAGTTGTTGAAAAGTACATAAAAAATATATATTTCCTTTGAATATAATTTTTGTGGGGCGATGCTGTAACCTCCGGACATTAAGCATGCTTTTATTATTATTTATTGAAAACATTTTACTATTAAATTAGTATAAAATAATCATCGTTAATGCATTAGCCTAACTATAATTGCAACAAATGTTTTATAAATATACCTTAAAAATGAATGAAACCAACATGAACACAAAGAACTGCCATCTTGTGGAAGAAATGAAACATGACTCATCATGTACGCTAGCTAGGGAAACCCTGAGAAACCTGTTTTCTTCTGATACCTCTAGTATCACTCTTCACTCTTTCTTATTTAAAAGTGAGTGCACCCCCTTCAAAAAATAAATAAATAAATAAATAAATAAACAAACAAATAAAAAGAAATAAATACATTTGCCTTTGTAACTTTTTCATTCTTTAAAATGATGTTCGGACTATGTTTTTTATTATTTTAAAGCCCATTCTATGTTTTATTTCTGTAGTATGTTATGATCAAGTATCTGGTATTTTGGCAGCAGAATGAATGCAATTCGCACAGAGTGGGACGAGAGAAGAGACTGACGAAGATATGATTTTATCATTAGGAAGCTAGTTCCTCCTCCTCTCTTTTTTAAAATCATAGTCTGACTCAAGCGCACTCTCTGCATTGAAGGAAAACGACTGATTTTCTGGATTTCTGGAAAATTGTTGTAGGCAACACTCCAGCCCAGGGTGAGATTAAATGTTAATTACTCGGTCAGTTAGTGTTTACTGCAGGTAAACTGTAAATGTGCTTGTTGTTCATTTGAAATGACGTGAAAATAGCGGTGCGTAGGCTAGTTCGAGGGAAACGGCTCTTGTCTGCGGAAAGTTTTAAATAAGTATGACTGCATTTTAAGAAGTTTCCATTCGGTTCAGAATATGTTGTTATGTCAAAAGCACAACTCCGTTCATCTGGGACCCCGAAAGACTGCTGAATTTTGGCGATAGGCGAATGTTGACAAATAACCAATCTCTCTCAGACCTTTAATCTTGAGAAGCGAGAAAAATACGGTGCAATTAAATTAACTTGTAAATTAGCCTACTAATAGCGAGATTATACTGCACGTCACAATGCACGAGAGCATAGTGTAACGTGTTTGAGGTTTTACGTTTTTTAGGGAACAACAGATTTAGAAGCAGCATCACTTTTTGCCAACATATGCTTAAGTTAATCGATCACGGTACAATATAATATAATGTTTGTTAATGTTAATGAGTTTTGAGGCAGTGTTACATTGATTTAATTTGCCTTCATGTCTACGTGATCATGTCCATTCATCAGTGAGGTGAACGTGCTCTGCCCAGCGTGATAATGACACGCGCTGATGAGCATTAAGCATTCTGTGCACTCAAGGTGCCAAGGGCCAGTTTGACTGTTTGAGTAACAATTTGTAATTTGTCTTTTCATTTTTTTTTTTTTTTGCGTCATTGTTTATGGATGGGCTAGTTTAGCTGATCAGAGAACCCGACATTCTCCGTTATGCAATTTTAGCTATGTTGGATTGTGCAATAATATTCACTCCATCATACAAAAAAAATATAATGCTGGACTTAAAGAACATATACTGTTGATTTTTTTGCTGTAATTAATGTCAAAGTCATTGCAACTTAAAAAAGCATTTCAGACTATGAAACTCACTTGCACAATTTATACCCTCACCACAGACACTATCTCGGTTGACTGGTTGCACACTTCCCGTTTCTAGTATGATGATTTCCATCTCTTTTCAGCCTGCCTTTATATTCCTTCCTTTTTCTTTCATACACACGCATGCATGCACCAAATTCCATGTTACACCGGAAGTGCTCATCTAAGTGCAAGGTAAGGAATGCAATAAGATAACTCAAAAAGAAACCCTCATATATTACCTTTTGTAATACTGATCTCACAATATACTTTAAAAGACTTTCAAACATGAGATCACACAACAAAAAGCTTCTAAAAACAATCCAAATTTTAAAGCTTTTCAAATGTATATAACTGAATACCTTTTCTCCCTGTAGGCTATTGTATTATTTTATTTATTAGGCCCTATACATAGATGTCAATTTTGATATTTTAGTTGTTGTTATTCATTTTACATAGTACTTTAAACTGTACCACAATGCCTTGTATTTGCCTCGTACATTTTAGCATTTTTCTTGTCTGAAGGTTAAATTTAAATGTATTTTCGTTAACTTTTTTAGAACTTGTAACATCATCCTAACCATGTGTCTAGTCAGGATAGTTATATTATGATAATGTAGGTGAGTGATGTTATATTCATGTTATTAGACAGTGAGCATAACCTTAACATTATCTTTCCGTCACATGTAATCTCTTCATACATTTGAGTTTAGTCCCCATTCAGATGATGAAGAATCAATTTTTTTTTTTGATGTAAATTAATTCTCTCTCATCCAAAAAAGGAAACATATAATGAAACTATAAAAAACATTCAGAAGTCAAGGGAAAACAATAAAATAAAAATTTTAAGATTAGAGTGTCAGTAATTTCACTATAATGTACCCCATGTCATTGAAGAGTTGATTTTTGATTTTATTTTTATTTATAGATATTACTTCTTTTTTTTTCAGTGCATTAGATGTCCAGTAGCATTGCTAGAAGATTTCTCTGGAAGCAAAGTTCTTTGAAGAGGTCTTAGGATATCCAGCCTGTTTAGTCTAATTCGGCCGTGAAGCCACCATGTCTCTCACAGATCATCACATCTTTGTAAGTAGAACAAAAATCTTAGATTTATGCCTAAGAATAGCAGTAAAAGCCTAAATCAGTGGAGTCTGGCTTTCAAAGTTTACATCAGGGATGTCATGGAACGTCTCTGGTTGTCCAATGATCATATTTTGTACAGGCTCTCTGTGCATATATAGATTGTTTCATGAGTAATGAGCAAAATTGGACATATTCTGTGGCATTGAATAAACAGAAACAGAGAAATCAAATGCTTTAAGCTAAACAAGTACATCAAACTCCACATAAATTCTGGTGAATATATTAAGTTTAAGATATATATTTGCATGCTTCTGGCTTACTGCCTCAAAATATGTATGTGTTGGTGTATCGCACCAACCTGACAGTCCTCGCATTAATCAGCACTTCCCTTTTTTCCTGTATCAAGACTACATTTCAAGACTACAAAGTGAATTCGCTTAGTTTTAATTCGCTTAATGACGATTGTATTGATTTGAAAGATTACGTGTTTATTATTTCTTAGGTTGAACAGCAAATTTCACACAAATTCCAAGTGAAAGTGTTGCGGGCTGAAAATGTCACCAAAGGAGCTCTCGGAGACCTGTGTGAGTATATATCATACTTTTAAAATGAAAAGTTAAGGTACTTACAGAACAGTGATTTTGTACATTACACAGCATCATGCATTGCCTCCTTCAGTTACAAAACTTAAAGGAATGAGACCTGATTTGAGCACTTCAGAGAACGCTCCTAACACTAAACATGCTTGTAGTGGATACCCCTGACCCATATGTGGAGCTGTTCATCCCCACCGCCCCTGAGAGCAGGAAGAAAACACGTCATATAGATAACGACATCAATCCAGAGTGGAATGAGACTTTTGAATTCATCCTCGACCCCAACCAAGACAACGAGCTAAACGTAAGTAAAGAGAAGCTGAAAATGAACTTCCGCTTCTGATCTAAACTTAGTCAGCTCTTCTTAAACACCACAGTCTTAAAGCTGCAGTAGGTAACTTTTGTAAACACATATTTTTTTTCACACATTTGTTAAAACTCTCATTATGTCCTGACAGTAGACTATGAGACAGATAATCAGTGAAAAAAAAAATCAAGCTCCTCTGGCTCCTCCCAGTGGTCCTATTGCCATTTGCAGAAATACATCGCTCCCGGTCAGAAACAACCAATCAGAGCCAGGAGGAGTGTCTCGGCAGTGTCAATTATGCTCGTGTACACACTGATCACGCCCCTCTCTTGACAGCGCGCCGTCAAACCAAACTCACTTTTTATGTACCAACCAAACAAACTTTTTATTAACACTGAATAAATTACACACTTCCTGATTGCAGTGCACTCACAGTTCAGGTTACTTTAGTAAGGTCTTGCTATTTCCAACTACTTTCTAACTACTAATACTAAGTGTAGTATGTTGAACATTCCTTCGAATGTTTTATGCTGATCAGGCTTTTGGAACTCGATGTTCTTACTTAGTAGTGTATACAGAACAGTCAATGATATGGTTTCTGTCTCTTGTTCCCAGCTGACATTAATGGATGCTAACTATGTCGTTGATGAAAAGCTGGGTACGGCCTCTTATGACATCTCTAAACTCAAAGTTGGACAAACAGTGCTGGAGTCATTTCTTATTGGAAAAGTAAGTTATATATCTACTTAAGGAGCACTTTCCCTGTAAGAGCACATGACACATGAGTTGCTTATATTTTGAAAGATTTGAAAAGAAAAACTGATTGAATGTACTTTTATATTTGTACATTTTAATGCGATGCCTGAATTTGCATACAATCATACTATCTTATACATTTTTTTTTAATGTTTACATTCTTATTATACAAATTGAAAATGATATGTAATATTTCATTTTGTAAATTATATATTTATTTTTCATTTGTATAAATGTCAACCATATTTCAGTTATTAACCATAACGTGAAACTAATAATTAGCTTATTATCAGCAAGAATTTCGAAATCAGTGCATCCACTTTTTCATTAAAATCGACGGTTTGTAAACAATTCAGTGGTGCATGTTGCTCTAAAGAAAAAAACAAACTTTTGTCTTTGTAATCTTAAATCTTAAAACAAAATTTACTTTCTCTGAAATGACTTTCCTTTTCTGCTGATGTCAAAAAAAAATATTTTTTTGCCTTCTTCCTTCCTTGATCTGACCTGTGGTATTAATGTTTTTCACAGATGACCAATGTGTACTTAGAGCTTTCCTTGGAGGAGTGGTACGTATCACAATGAACAAAACTGGCTTCTGTTGTGTATAGTAAGAACATATATAGTTGAACCGCCATAAATATGACTTTCTTTTGAACTGTTCTCAGCTGCACGATGGACCTGCGGTTTAACCTGGATCTGTGTCCTAAAGAAAAGCTCTACAGACAACATCGGCGTGATAGAGTCATGCTGGGCATCAAGAAATTGCTACACATGGAGAAACCTTCCTCCCTCCCTTCCTCTCCTCATGAGGTATCACGTATTACTCAACTGCTTTTGTAACCCCTCCAGTCCTACTCGCGCCGAGATTCAAACCGGCATTTCCACAATAACAAAAACGTTCTTGTGTCTATCACTAGTGTGCCTCTTTAGGCCAGGGAAGTGAGGTTTACTCGCACAGCTAGCCTCGGTGACACTTTCTCCACTGGTTGTGCAGTTGCAGAAAAAGTACAGTGTGTGTTTGATGCAGATGTCAGCTTACTGTAATGAAGATGGAGACACCTAATGAAGTACAGAAAGCCAAGACATACATGACATAGAAAGAAAAGAAAATAGACTGAGTCGAGCTGCTGACGCAGATCTCCCCCAAACAGCTCAGATTTCCACATAACTTTAGCAGTCATTTCCTTCCAGATAAGATATTTGGCCACATTAAGCAGACATAACCAAATGTTTCAATATTTAACCATTAAAACTAATAAAATTGAGCACTAAAAATGAAGACTGACAGTGTTTTTGTGTTTCATTCTCTGTATGTCTTGATTATCAAGTTTGTTTTCTTTGGCGTGTTTTTCTGACGTTGCCAGTTCCAGTTCAGCCCTGGCTCAGGCTGAAAATGGACATAGTCCAAATATGAAGAGGAAGTGTTAGCCAAGACTTGCGAACTTACAGGACTGGTGTGTTACTTTTGGATTTCATAAGCCTAAAAACGAACCACAGGCAGGAAATTACAAAAGCTGAACTGCTTTTCTGCACGTAAATCGATCTGGTTACAATACAGTTACAATGCTGTTAGAAATGCTAGCCTTATGACTAAGGATCTGCAGCGCAAACTTAAAGTAAGATGCTGCGTTCACACTCACTGTCTAGCACAATTATGATTTTCTGAAAGCTTCAACTTCTCTTACTTGACTTTTAGCCAGGCAAAAACAATCAAAATTTATTTGGTGTCAACCTGTACACCTTTCGGTTTGGTGTCATTTATCTTTGCCAATGTTACCTGGTGTGCTTTCCTTGTTCTGAAAAAGTTGAGATGTAACAGAAGTAGCAACAGATCTTCTCTTCTATATTGTCATGTACGTCTGAGTGAAGCGGATTAACAAAAAGAAAAGTGTAGGGCGGATTTTCTGAGTTATGTCCATCAATTGCGAGTTTGCAATTGATTGTAAGAAAGCGAAGAGGTTTAAAGCGTTAGTTCAGCCAAATTTTTATTTCTGTCATTAATTACTCACCCTCGTCGTTCCATACCTGTAAGACCAAATTAAGATATTTGATTACATCCGAGAAAGGTAGTAAAGACATTGTTAAAATAGTCTATGTGACTACAAGTGGGTCGTGCGCAAAAAAACACACACAAATAACGACCTTATTCATCAATTTCTTCTGTTCTGTGTCAGTATCTGATGCTGTTCACGTTGGAAGCAGCGTTTTTCTACGTCAGAACGCCAGCTCAGTATTGGCCGGATCCTGCGTCAACATCACACGCATTCGCAAAAAAGTTGAACCACTGCAGTCACATGGACTGTTTTAACATTGTCTTTACTACCTTTCTGAAAGTGGTAAGAACGTTACAGTCTAAATGCGGGGTTAGAAAGCTCTCGGATTTCATTAAAAACATCTTAATTTGTGTTCCGAAGATGAACAAAGGTCTTGCGTGTTTGGAACGACATGAGGGCGAGTAATTAATGACAGAAAATTACATTTTTGGGTGAACTAACCCTTTAAGCTGACAAAATGATTGGAAAAGTCCGGCGTACATCACCAGAGAGAAGTCTGGTCACTTTCACCGACATGCATGAATCACGCATGGATGAATCGTTCACAATCGGATTAATAGCATGTATTTAGAAAATATTCAATTTCATTTGGACGTTAAATGTTTTGCAAGAGCATGCAAAAAGGGAATCAAACTTCAAACTTTTAAAGGGATACTCCATTTTTTTTTTTGAAATAGGCTCATTTTACCACTCTCCCAGAGTTAAACAGTTGGGTTTTACCGTTTTTTAATGTATTCAGCTGATTTTGTGATATTTAGAAGAATATCAGTAACCACACATATACTATGGAAGTCAATGAGACCAGAAAATGTCTGGTAACTGATATTTTTCTAAATATCAAAAAAATCAGCTGAATACATTCGAAAATGGTAAAACCCATCTGTTTAACTTTGGGAGAGTGGTAAATGCCTATTTCCAAAAAAAGTGGAGTATCCCTTTAAATCAACTTTAAACTAGTTCTCATCTTGCATTTTCAATAACTCCACAATGACATAAACGCTGTAAATTACTGAAATCCAAATTCGAGACAATCCCATTATTCTTTACACTTTGCAGTAATTGTACAGTAAATCTTTTTGGCTGAAAAAACAATGAAAAAGGTAAAATTCTAGCTTATTGCTAGTAGTATTTCACTAGCATACTGCGGTGCTGCTAATATTAGTTTTTTTTTTGTTGCATGCAGGTTCCAGTGATTGCTGTGCTGGGCTCAGGGGGAGGTTTCAGAGCAATGGTCGGGTTCTCTGGGGTTATGAAGGCTTTGTATGAGTCTGAAGTTCTGGACTGCGTCACATATGTTGCTGGACTCTCCGGATCCACCTGGTATAAGGACATGTTCATCTTTTAATTCCTTCTCAAATAAATCCCAGTGCAAACCTACATTTGCTTTTCTGTCTCTCACAGGTACATGTCCACTTTGTACTCCCACCCAGAGTTCCCCACTAAGGGCCCAGAGCAGATCAACCAGGAGCTGATGAACCGCGTGAACAGTAACCCTCTCCGACTACTCCTTCCCAAACACATCACTAAATACGTACATGCCTTGTGGAGCAAGAAGAGCTCTGGGCAGCCTGTTACCTTCACAGATATTTTTGGGATGTTAATAGGCGAGACGCTCATTCCCGCTGTGAGTATCTGATCTTTGGAGTTTCCTTTGCTTTTTCCTTTACTTATTAGGAAATATACAACGCACAACTGGCAATACAAAGGCTTCTCTTTCTGCTCTCTCAACAGAGGATGGACACCAAGTTGAGTGAATTGCAGGAAAAGATAAATGAAGCTCAGGCTCCTCTGCCCTTGTTCAGCTGCCTGCATGTAAAACCAGATGTCTCTGAGCTCAAGTTTGCAGGTAAAAGGGCAATTTATTTATTTTTTGTTAATGCAAAATGTTTCATTATAAACCATATTATTAGTATAACAAATTTCTACAGTTTCTATGATTACAATATCAAGGATAGGTGTTTTTGTCTTCAGAAATTCCAACGAATTGTGTAAGGTAATACTACACCTTGGAAATACAAAAAAGATCATTATCAGCTACATTGTTGTTAGAGTATTCACTGAATGAATGAAGTGGGATCCCATTTATAGTAGTCTGACCTTTTAAATTGGCTGGGGAGAACTCAATTACGTCAGAAGATTAGTTCAAGAATGTACTATGACTATCTTGCGCAAGAAAATATTTACATCTCAGGTAAGCTGCATTTTAATGCACATAGCTATTTTAATAGAGTATAATATCTTTTAAATAAATTCCTCTAAATTCAGTCACCTTTTTGTCTTAAACATGCATCAGTACGGTTTGTAAAGTTTAACTGCGGCTGAATGAAAGCAACCATTTAGACGCAGTGCCACTCAAGGGAATCACCCACACGTCACGTTTCATTGAGTTTCCAAAATAGTCCTATGCAACAGAAAGACATCCGAACCACTCCTACTTCTACAATAGACTAAAACTGTGGTGACTGTCAATACCTCAGATTTTGATTAATCATTTTTTGTCTAAAAAACGTCAGTTGATTTTCTGCAGGCTTTCCAAAATAGCTTTTGTATTCTGAGCATTTTGTTTAGTTGATTCATGCATCTGCCTTCGTCAAGTGACACAAGTTGATGTAATCAACACTGCCAAGGAAACTGAAATCTGAAACATTGCTTTCGCACATTCCCAGATACGATTTAAAATATGCTCTTTGTCATTGTGTTTATTTTTAAACTAGTTTTGGTCTGTTGTCCAAAATTATAATTCGACATCCTGTTCTTGTTACTGTTTATTTGTTGTAATGGGCATGTTTCACAGACTTCTGTTGAATGTGAATACATTGAGGTTATGGTTGTGTTTTGACTGGCGTGTTTTAATTGACAGACTGGGTGGAGTTCAGTCCATATGAGATCGGAATGGCTAAATATGGAACCTTCATGACCCCTGACCTTTTTGGAAGCAAGTTCTTCAGAGGAAATGTGATCAAGAAGCACAAAGAGAACCCTCTTCACTTCCTAATGGGTATGGGCTCTTTTTCTGAATTTCTCTAGTAAGCAGAGAACCATCATAAGAGAGAGAGAGAAAAATATGTGTTTTTAAGGAAATAGTGTCACCACATAGTTGGAATCTTCACTGTCAGAGTCAAATGTCACCTGATTTAAGGGTGTTGGTTCAGTCATTTGCAATTATCCCATCCTTGCTGTATTGTAATGCGAGACAAGTGTTGTAATTCAGTGGTGCAAACTCAAAATTCACATAGTCGCTGTGACTGTAAAGAAGCATTCTTCGAAGGGTGTATCGCAAGAGTTTCACTGCAGATTTACTCTTTGTGTTTAAAACAGTGACGTGAAGATCAGCAAAAGTATTTGTAATCTACTGTTTCAGGCTTCACATTGTCTATACAATGACATTTTTTTTTAATTTCTTACATTTTACAATTTTGCATCCTTGCAAAATAAAGACAAAGATTAAACGAATGATTAAATGTCTGGATTATATATTTCATCCTAATATTAATAAGAAATTATGATAAGAAGAATATGAAGCCTCTTTTTAGGACCATTATTATTTTTTTTATAATCATAATCATTGGTTGTACTGGATTTATACATTATTTTTAATACTTTTGATTTTGAGGTAAAACGTGATCAAATATACAGCATTAAAGTCCTGTTTACACCTGGTTTTAAGATGCGCTTTGGTCGATCGAATCACAAGTAGACGAGGGAGAGACATTCCGGTTTACACTTGATTTCTTCGATGGGAGGGTCTATGGGCGGGTAAATGTATATATTTTTTTTAAGATATACATTTTTTTTTCTCAAAATAAGCTCACGCTATTCACACATGAATGAGGCAAAAAAAAAAAAAACATACGGCGAGGAGTAGCTTAAAGAAAATTAAGTAATTAATTACTCACCCCCGTGCTGTACCAACCCCGTAAGACCTTCGTTCATTTTTGGAGCACAAATGAAGATATTTTTGATTAAATTTGAGAGCTGGATCACTGCCACATGGGCTCCTAAGGGATTGAAACTTGACGGCCCAGAAAGTCATTGAAAAAAACAAATAATAAAATAAAAATAACGGAAATAAAACAAAAATAATGACTTTTTTCGACTATTCCTTTACTTCCTTCTGGGCCTGAGATGAGAGTTCAAGAGATTTCCACGACGCATGCGCAAGAAGTAGTAGAATAAGAACGCAATTCTCGCGCATGCGTCGTGGAAATCTCTTGAACTCTCATCTCAGGCCCAGAAGGAAGTAAAGGAATAGTCGAACAAAGTCATTATTTTTGTTTTATTTCCGCACAAAAAGTATTCTCGTCGCTTGATAAACTTATAGTTGAGCCACTGTAGTCACATGGAATATTTAAACATTTTCTTCAATGACTTTCTGGGCCATCAAGTTTCAATCCCTTAGGAGCCTATGTAGCAGTGATCCACCTCTCAAATTTAATCAAAAATATCTTCATTTGTGTTCCGAAGACGAACGAAGGTCTTACAGGGTTGGTACAGCATGGGGGCGAGTAATTAATGACTTAATTTTCATTTTTGGGTGAACTAACCCTTAAAGTTTTTGCTCTGAAAGCCGTAAGACCACACCGAATGCTGTGAATTTGTGTTAGAAATCAGGAATGGTGAGAGAACATTGTGCTTGGTACGTTTTTCATCCTTATACCAATAATGTTTACGCATTAGGTCATTAGGCATAGATTAGGGGGTCTTCTGTTTGAATACATTCTACCACATGAGCGTTTACACCAAGAAATCTGGTCGAATGCATTTTCGACTACCTCTGAAAGTGGTCAAAAGTGGACAAGCTAAAAACGTTTTAGACACCTTTTACACCTGTATTTAGCATCGTCCACTTGTAGATGGGAAATAGTGTGTTACTTTGTATATGTTGCACAGGTGTGTGGGGCAGTGCCTTTTCCATCCTGTTCAACAGAATTCTGGGATTGAATGACGCGACGAAGGGCAGCACCATGGAGGAAGAACTAGGTACGATCACCAGCTTTGTTAAGGATCCAAGACCAGTTTCATATCGCTCTTTTACTATTTTTAGCAGCAAAACTCTTTTTTTCATCTGTCCCATGTGTGTTACGTCTACATGTATTAATAATATTCTTGTTGTGTCAAAATAGTGATAGAGGAAGAAAATGTTGCAGAATAGTGGTGCCTTAAGTATTTGCATGTCTGATGGTAGATTCATAAAACTGAGATGGTTATCAGGCAGCTACACCAAAGTGTGATTACAGTTGTGCAGATGCAAACATCCTGGCTCACACACACTATATTCTTAGATGACCTGAGAGATTGTGATGATCTTAGTCAGACATCAGTTGGAGGTGGTTTGCACTGTGGCTTTACGCTTGTTTTTACTTTTACTCTACAGAACAGATCAAACCGGAACACATCGTGGGAGAGGACAGTCTAGATAATGATGAAGACTCAAATAAAGGTGAGATTTTAGTCCTTACACAGTAAGTATCTTAGTTAGAATAGGTTTTCAAACATTTTGATGCCACGGATTCCAAATGTCCCTGCAGGGGACCTCCTTCTCAAATTATAAAGACAGCTATGTATTTATTTGTATGTATAAATGCCAAATTTGTACCGAGGAAAAATAAAGAATATAATTATGTGCAAAATATTATCTGGAAAATATAATTAATGTATACCATTGTGAAAACCCTGATTAAAATTACAACCTTTTGTTTAACAGCAAAGCAGACTGATCTCATGAAATGCTGTATGTATGACACACCAATTCGATTTTTCCATTTTTGGCGTGCTATCAACTCGCATAATCGCTTTTCAGCGTGTTTATGAACGCCGTTGACTTAACGTTACATTATTGTATAAATATATGACCTACCCCAACCCCGTCCCTAAACCTACCCGTCACTGGGGTTAATACCATTTATGAGTCTTCCCCTTCCATCCTAGGAAAAAAATATATCACTCCCCAGATGTAGATCTACATTTTGCTTCGTTTTGCTCGGACATTTAACAGCGTGTACATACACGCGGAATCACTAGGACATTTAACGGCGTAGACATATACGTGGGTAGCTCAAAATGCGTATAAATAACACACCACTTGACTTGAAAGTGGCGTGTATGTTTACACAAAAGTCATGATGCCATGTTGAGCAAAGACATTAGGTTTTAGAAAAAAAAAATTACTCAATGAGATAAATCCTTATTAGAATATCAATACAAATGCATAAATATTATGTAATTTTTTTGTCTTACACGTACAGAGGACGAGTATCAGGCCAGCTGGATGCAGCGCATGGTTAGCGCTCTCTTCAGTGACTTTTTTAATACACGAGAAGGCAGAGCGGGAAAAGTACACAACTTCATGCTGGGCTTAAACCTAAACAATGACGTGCCATTTTCGTCTTTCACGGAGTCCGTCAGTCCCACAGAGGATGAAACTGATGCGGTCACAGGTTAGAGTTCATGTTTGTTATGGGCATTTAAGTTTACTGAATTAAAGGGTTAGGAAAAGACTTTCGTTCATCTTCGGAACACATGAAGATATATTTTTAATGAAATTTGAGTGCTTTCTGTCCCACCAATGACAGCCTACGCAACTACCACTTTCAAGATTTAATCGAAAAGACCATTTGTGTTCCGAAGATGAACAAAAGTCTCAGGGGTTTAGAATGACATGAGGGTGAGTAAATAATGACAGAATTTAAATTTTTGGGTGAACTAACCCTTTAATATGAAGTGTTGCCTTATTGTTTTTTTCTGATTTTGGATATTTCAGACCCATGCGAGTTTGACTGTATCTACGAGCCATTAGACGTAAAGAGCAAGAAGATCCATGTGGTGGACAGTGGCTTGACCTTTAACCTCCCTTATCCTCTAATTCTAAGGCCTCAGAGAGGTGTTGATCTTATCATCTCCTTTGATTTTTCTGCCCGACCGAGTGACTCAAGTCCTCCATTTAAGGTTAGTACTAGGGCTGTCAGTTTTATTTAGACTGATAAATTATAAAAAAAACAAAGATTATCTATGCATACATTTTTTTAGTGTAAAGAACCATGTCACAGTATTGATAAATGTGATTTATTTTATAGATCATTTAATCAGAATATCATGTAAAATCATGATCATATGTGCACAGACAAGATGTATGCCATGTAGGTTTTGTAAATGATTGGTCCTTTGTAGGAACTTCAGCTAGCTGAGAAATGGGCACGAATGAACAAACTTCCGTTCCCCAAGATCGACCCGAAGGTGTTTGACCGGGAAGGGCTGAAGGAATGTTATGTGTTTAAGCCCAAAAAAGGAGAAAGGAACTGCCCAACTGTCATCCATTTCGTCCTGGTCAATATTGAATTCAGGACATTTAAAGCCCCAGGTGTGTGTTGATTTGTTTGTGTAAGCGTCTGTTTACATAAAAAAGAGATTTCCTGTCAAGATTAGGGATCTCCTTTCTAAAAAAAACTGATCTTTCCAGTTGCGTCTTATCTGTTTACACTGTCCTGTGATTCGCACATTTGTTTGTGTAGGAAGGTCTGTGTTTGGACGTTTTTATGAACTAGCTGATTTACATCCCATTTTATATAATGCATGAAGTGGGTGTGTTTCTATATGTATGTGTATTCAATCTGTTTATATGCTTTGGAAGACAAAGATTTTGTTTTTTTTAACATTGAAAATCATAATAACAGACTGGGGACTTGGTCATTTCAGATCACTCAAATTAGTTAAAAAGAAAAAAGATCAAGATGTTTTCAACAAAAGTGTGGTTTGTTTTGAAGGTGTTCCACGTGAAACAGACAAAGAGAGAGAATTTGCAGACTTTGACATCTTCGATGACCCCGAGACGCCCTACTCCACATTCAACTTCCAGTATTCCAATCAAGCTTTCACTCAGCTGCATGATCTTATGGAATTTAACACGCTTAACAACATAGAGGTCAGTCCAGCTCAGATTCATGCTTATTTATATTCTTGTGCAGGCTTCTTTGAATCAGGTTCTGAACGTCAATGTGCCTTTTCATGTTTAGGCTTATTTAAGCAATTCACGTTTTAAATAATCTTTCATACTTTATCTAGGTCATCAAAGAAGGCATAAAGGACAGTATCTTGTATAGGAAGGAGATTCCATCTCGCTGCTCTGTCTCCCTTTCTCTCAGTGAAATACAAAATAAAAAACTCCTGAAGATGGAGTCCAAAGGACAAGCATACCAATAAGGAGGCGGTCTATTATGGCATTCACGCCACAGGAAGTTTACAGATGTCACACATCTCATCATGGAAACATTTTTTTTAAACTGAAAAATAGCTCAACAAACTGTGAAACTAGATGGTCTGGTTTGGTGGGAGGGTTTGGAGGGAGAACTTGTGACTGACACCATGAAAACAGCATTTACAATGCAATTGTTGTCATTAAGTTGTGCGGATGTAGCAATTCCAGAGAGTGTGGTGTGAAGTGCCGGAGTAAATGTAAACAAATCAAGTTTAAAGTGCTTAGAGGTTTACTTCTTGAAGACTTAAAAAGGTGCCCCCCCCAAAAAAAAAAAATAAAAATAAAAAAAAATAGACATAGAGGAAATTATATAGACAAAGAAGAAATTAATACATGTTTGGAAAGACATAAGTAAATGATGACCGATTTCTCATTTTTGGTTGAACAATCCCTTTATTGCAAAATTATCTTCTGGATATTATAATAAGTGTATTAATCCCAAGAATGTTACTGAAAGCACCTTTGGGCATTTGGCGTGTTTGTGTTTGGTTTAATGGCAACTGCTAAAACAAGATCCTGATTTATCTTCATGAACTAAGGGAGTGCCTCAAAAAATAAATAAAAGGAATATCCTAAGTTACAAAACAAAACATGAAACCATAGAAATCCCACCATTCCACAATCTTGTGCGAGTCTGTTAAACAGGTGTTTTGTTTTTTTAACCCTATCTTGTTATTTTAAGTTTCCCTTTAAATGCAGAGATAGTTTTTATTTCTAACTGAGTCATTTCCTTTTACCCTTAACCCACTATTGTCTATTAGTAAGTGAACGGGAGAGGAGAGGAAGTGTTAGTTAATCCTCAAACCGATAAATCAATATCAGGATGATGTTATAAATTCTTTTTATACACCACAACTATGTAGTCAATTCCAGTAGGTCATGCAGGTAGCATAAAAAACACTGACTGTATAATATTTGCTCCACTATACCTGCTTCATCAGTGAATGAGCACGGGCCGTTTTAGATGACTGAATGTAAATTGTCGCTCTGATGTCTTACTATAGATTTTAACTATTATTTTACTATATATTTGAACATTTTTTAACATTATACCCTGATGGATGCTCATGTGTTTTAGCTTTTAGCTATTGGTAGTTTGTACGTGTAGACTCACACTGACTAAGTATTAATTCACTATTTATTCATATATAACCATTAATACTTACGTTAAAAGAGTTGTATGTTTTACTACAAAGAATTTGTATGCAATGTTTACACTTAATTAAACATCTTCTGATGGTGTGTATTTGATGTGTATACTTTAAATGTGTGAACAATGAGTTATTGTCCTTATAATGCATTTCAATGACATATCGTATTAGTAGAAACTTATGTTTTGAGACCTTTGCAAAAGCTAGGGGCATTATGACCTACATTTATAAGAGGATCTGTTTTCAGCTGAACGTTCTTCTTTTACCCTCTTATATATTAGAAAAGCATCTGAATACTTCAGCAGATGCACATATGTTCTTACAACTTATGTCATCTTTCAAGATCACATAAAAATCCTACTGATAAGGTTCAAAACATATGTAATGTTATGTAAAACACAAAATATGTATCATAAATATTAAACTGCTTTTGTAAGTACAAGTAAAAATGTTACTCTAACTAAAAGTAGAATATAACATGCAATGTTATTTTAACTGTAATCCAACTTTTATGCTCTTTACAGACATAAACTTGTAGATAAAATGAAGGTTGTTTATTTGGACCTGGTGGTGATGCTTTGCTGTTTCTCTTGTTGAGGAACGTCATAAGGAATGCCTTTATGTATGTGACTGAAGGCGATCTGTAATTCAAAGTATGAACATCCGCTGCCTACACGGTTATTACATCACAAACACATCACGCCTTACTTTTGTGTCAATTTCTCTGAATATAATAGGCTTCTAAAAAAGACACAACAGCTGAATTCCTATTGTCTTTTAACTCGTTTTAAAGATAATACGGATGAGTGAATCTTCAAAACTTTGTTTTTTAAGCAATTGTGAGCTGCCAAACAATGTATCTGATAATGGCAAGGGTTAGCATCGTTTCACACTTGTTGTAGAGATGCGAACGCACGATTTTTTTTTTTAACCTTTTGTCAAATACAGTATCAATATGAATGGTGTGTAAATGGCAGCTTACCTCAATAAATATCCAAACACTGCATATGGTTGCAGAAACCTTCGCTCTGTTTTGGCTTTTCATCTGAGGGAAACAGTAAAAATGTTCAATGTTAACTGGAGTGATGAAGAGAGAATCATTTTATTATTATTATTATTATTTATGCTTCATAAAACGTAATACAGCCAACCAAAGTGAATTTACTTTGAACAGTATTTTCACAAACGGCCCTGCAGTTATCAAAACAGGTCATGTAGGCCTAACTTACCATTCGAAAGCGTATTCATTCAATTAATATCATTGAGCTAACTGATACACAAATAAGGTTAACCCAGGCCCCAGGGTTTACGTTTATAGTGTGAAATCTCGAAACCTGTAGGATTACTTACCGAGCAACAGTGTGAAACAATAAGTTTAGATTGAATGATTAGCCTACGTTTTCCCACCGTTTTGATATGTGAAAACATTTAAAGACAGGGAAAGTGTTCTGGCGCCATCTACCGTTACCTGACCACCACTACATATTAACAAAATAACTGTTGCCATTAAATAAACATAATTAATTTAATTTAATTGTAATAATATTTTAGCATTACATTTTTTATATTATTATTTTAAATTACAGGCAGGAGCAATAATTGAAATTGTAGGCTGGAAGGAATAAGGAGCAGAAAATTATTTAAAGTCGTCTTGCAGACCCGTTAGAAATTTGCTGAGGACCCCTAGTGCTTTTTTCCCCCTTTTCTTTCTTTTTTAGGAACTGTCTTCACCTCCGCTGTTCCCGATAGAGGGCGCTCTATGCGGAAGTGATGGAATCCCATCATCACTGACACGATAGCAGGCTGCAAGATCCGCCAGGCTCGTTTAGCATAGAGAACTGTTACATTGTGTCCGTGCAAAAACGTTTAACTTAACATCAGACGGGGAATAAGTTGCGTTCATCATGTCAAAGAATACGGTGTCCGATCGTTTCCGGAAAGTGGATGTGGATGAATACGACGAGAACAAGTTTGTGGACGAGGAAGAGGGGGGAGAAAACCAGCTGGGTCCAGATGAGGCAGAGGTGGATTCTCTCATCAGACAATATCCTTCTTTATTAACCAACATGTGCATGATCTGATAAAGTCTTTCATTTTAAGAGCCAGATCATCTCCGTGTGTAATTATGACATCAGTGATGGACGTAATTCGCCAGTTAAATATTTTGCTCCATAAAGTGTGCATAAATAAATAATTGAAAGCACTTCATTTTTTGTATTTAATTATTTTGTTTTCATGCAGCACGCTATCATGTCATGGCATGTCATGCACTGATTGTTCATAATTTATGAGTTGCCTGATAGACCAGCTGGCCTAGAGATTTCTGTACATCATCACACACAGAACTGGGTTGTGTGCATTATTCTACTCATTTACATTTATTTACTAGACGAACACTCATCCAGTCACAAATGTCCTATAGTGTTGCATCATGAACGGACAGTAGTCTCATTCAGTTCTCTGAAATGTCCAGGCATGTCTTGACATTCCAGACATTGTTTTGATAAAAGTGTCTCTGCAAAAAGATGCGGTAATATTAACTACAACATATTATTTTCCAGGCTGTGTGGGTTATTAAAACGTTTCTGTAATTTGAAACGTGCTTTATTTTAGTACAAGGAAGTTAAATGCATGTCCTTATATGTCCATTTTGGAGTACCCAGGGCTTTATTTCCTGTTTCTAATGTTTTTTTTTAGTCCCTGTGGTTGTCTCGTGATATCTCAAATGCAGCCTGTCCACAGGATGCATAGATGTTGAAATTGTGCTATTATACAGTATACAGTGTTTTTCTTAACCGCACTCTGCAGAGGGAACCTCATGGGTGCCCTGCAGGCAGTGTTAAAAAATCCACCAATCAATACAAAGAATCAGAACGTCAAGGTGAGCCATGGCACTTTTTTCCTTAAAGAAAAAAGTATTTTCCTCTGATCAGCTATAGAAAATCACAGCATTTTTTCAATTCAACAGAATTTAAAATTGTATAGAAAATGTTGCATTATTTGTGTTTGTTCTAGAGTTGCTGTAAAGCCAAAACAACCTCCGTTTAATTTTTTATTATCACTGTAAATCTGCTTTGAAAAAATCTATATTGTTAAACGTGCTATAGAAATGACGGTGACTTGACATTTTGCTTATTGATATAATCATGAACACGCAACTTCTCTATTAATGCATCATCCTTGTGAAGTGATAGGAACCAGATTTGATCTGACCTTTTGTAGGATCGTGCTGAAGGTCTGGTGCTGAAGGTGCTCAGCTCCTTCAAGAGTACTGACATAGAGAAGGGAGTTCAGTCTCTGGACAAGAATGGAGTGGACCTGCTCATGAAATACATCTACAAGGGCTTTGAGCGGCCGTCCGAGAACAGCAGCGCTGTCCTGCTGCAGTGGCATGAAAAGGTAGGGTTAATAGTAAACATAGTAACATGTTTTATTAGCAAAGCGGGTGTGTTGTGCTCCTAAAAGAGGCCAGTAGCTCAATTGTGAATTCTCCTCAGGCTCTCTCTGCAGGTGGAGTGGGCTCTATCGTGAGGGTCCTAACAGCCAGGAAAACTGTGTAAACTGCGAGACGATTAGCACAGCACACAGAAAACAACAACAACCTGCCGAGACACTCAGAACAAAGCGATGACTTTCCACAGGGTACTGAAGAGGACCTCTCATCAAATTTCAATGCTTTTTTGCCCTCTTCTGTTATATCACTCTTCACTCACATAGTCAAAAAACGCATTACCGTGCCATCAGTAGTATGTTAGACTTAACGTAGCTTCTCTCAGGAATACTTTTCTATTCTCTTCTGTATTGTATTCAGCAATTCTGAATAGAAGGAACTTGTTAGAGTTTTATAAAATCTTAAGTTATTATGAATTTACACCATGTAACCTCTATTCATTTCAAGCCATTCACACATGCGGACTAAAATAACAGTCACAGATTGGTCGGTGTGTCTTACTGGCACTACGTCTGTCCACATTGACTGTGTCGGATTATGAGTGCATTAAACCTTCCTGTCACTGATCCCCTCTCGTTTGTTCTAAATCGGCAGACGTTATCCCGTAGAATTGAATTTTTCATAAGCAAAGCTTGTATAAGACAAAGTTACATTGTTGATCTTATGCATCATCTGAAACAGATGCTTTATTTTCTTAGCCGATGTAGTCATCTCACTAATCTGTGACTTTCACTAATGCTGTTATTAATGTCTTGTCTCAGTGTACCTGTTTCAGCGTTCCAAAGCACTTATTGACATGGACCATTGTTATTGTATGTGTGTCAGAATGCATATGTCTGTATCTATTGTATGTCTGGAGATGTTTTTAAGCCAACTCTGTTGAATACTGCCTCAAAGCAGATCATTACTGATCCAGTCTGATCTGAGACATATCGTCTGATCAGGGACCTGCCTCTACAAATGACAGTGCAGACACTCAATAAACCAAACCGGTATAATGACTGCCTTACAAAATATTCCTTTTTTTATGTTTGTGCTTTTGTGATTAAATAATAAATTGTTAAATATACACCTGATGACCTGACTTTTATATTTTTTTATTTATATATGTTGGAATATTGAAATCTCTATTGAAAGCATGAATGTGTCAATTTTGTTTTTACAAACTGCAGGTTTGTAAGATTATTAAGATTATTAAGATTATTATAATGAATAATCGAGTGAGAAGTTTTGAAGCTCTAGAATGAATGTATCAACAAAAACAAAAAAGATTGTACATTTTATTGCTTTTTATAAAAAAGGGAATACAACATAGTATTACAAATAAAAAACCCAAATACTTATATACATATCATGACAATAGAATACACCTTGATTACTGACAAAGTTACAAAAACAAAAAAACTCCAAATGTGTATAAACTGTAATGATAATGAGAAATTGCTATTATGTGCATAGTTACTGGTCGACAATACTCACTTCTTGAGTAAAGATAGTGCTTACCTGAGGTGGACTTCCTTTTCATTTTTTTACTGCAGATGTGGCTCAAACTCAAACCTCATCATCATGTTAACACACAAATTTAAACTGATAACATCTTCCCCATCTCATTTCATAGAAAGCAACGGAGGGAATTGAGTTTCTTTCATATATTCAAGCAATTCCCAATAATTTAATAGGTAGACTGTATTCTATAACACCACCCACAGTCTTGCTGTACATTCTGATGGAGGAGTGGCCGAACCGTTAACCCGCCTGCGGTCTTAAAACTGGTTTCAAGTCTCACCATTGAACTCCAGAGAGCAACATCAGGACTCTGCAAAAGCGCTCTTCCAGCCTACAAGGCCTTACACGTCAACACGACCTGTGAGAATCTCTTCAAGTGGCGGATCTGCACTCATACAAAGATGTACAGGTCGCAGTCATGCTTGTACAAAAACGGCACCATTCTCAGAGGTTGCGCTATAAAAGATTTCATCCATATGGACGGTTGTAAATTTTCTGTAATGCTCTGTTTTTATCTGTCAGTAAATTACTGATATGGCTGATTTTGTTGTAGTTGAAACGCCACTAATATCACAAGAACATCTGTGCCATGAGCTCTCTAAGTCTTTTTTGGCCTTTTCTTAAACATACATTGGTCTCACGAACTCGTCACTTGATTTATTGATGAATATCTCAATTTATTCCACTTACAATCTCTTGTTTCTCTCCCAAAATCCTCTCTCATGTCTCTGTCCTGGTTTATTTTCACAGGGGTGCTTCAAAACTTAATTTTCTTCCCTTTTCGTATCCCATTAAGAAACTCTTAATGTGACCAGACCAGATTCCTTATTTTTTATCTGTCAAAAATTCATGAAATGACAGATTTTTGTTTTAGCGCAACCTCTGATCATTCCCTCCCTTTGTAGGCTGCGGGATGTAGTAAAGTGCTCAGTACGGATAGGCTGAGACAGCGATGTAGACAATGAAGGTGGTCTGGTACTCTATTCCTCCGTCGGCACTGTAAGACAGGGCTCGTACCTTCATGCGGTAGGTGTGAGGTTCGCGCAGAGGCCGAGTGGTGAAGAGAACACCTTTGAGGTTTTCGTCCCGGAGGGCGAAGGGCAGAGTTGTGTCCTCGTCGACCACTAAGAAGGAAGTGCGGGGGTGGATGACTCCATCCTGGGTGTAGGCAACCAGCCGGATCAGGTCCTGATTGGCGGCGATGCCGAAGGGCAGGGACAGCAGTTTGTACTCCAGTGCATACGGGCTCAGGGCACACTCCAGATCATTGGGTGGACAATTCTTCAGGCAGAACCTGAGAGGAGAAGCAGAACTCACTTAATTCAGAATGATCAACTAAGTAAAAAATGACAATTGCAAAGAAAAGAGTGGCAGTTTCACCCTGTGGTTGGATCCCTCTGATAGTTGGGAGGGCAAGGTGTGTCGATGCATTGGTAACTCCCTCTCATGTTGAAACACATCCTGTTTGCACCACACTGAATGTTCTGCTCCAGACATTCATCTATGTCTGTCCATATAAATACCAAAAATGAGCAATACAAAACTCTTATATTTAGTAATATATTTAGACTTTTCTTTAGATTTTGTTAGGTTGCTCACAAGAGAAGTTAGCACTAGGGCTGGACAATGATTGATCGCGATTAATCACATCCAAAATAAAAGTTTGTGTTGACATAATAAATGTGTGTGTACTGTGTATAATTATTTTGTATATAAAAATTCACACAAATGCATGTATATATTTAAGAAAAATGTGTTATTAATATAAAAAAAATTCTATTCAAAATATAAATACAGTATATACATGCAAATATTCTTAAAAATATACATATATGTGTGTGTATTTATATATACAAAATAATTATACACACTACACACACATATATTATGTAAATACAAACTTTTATTTTGGATACGATTAATCGCGATTAATCGTTGCCCAGCCCTAGTTAGCACATATATTATATGATTTTTTTTCAAATTCTTACCTTGGCAGGTTTTGCCATTGCTCATAAGGCGATAGCCATTGGGACACAAACACCTATGGCTGCCTGGTGTGTTCATACACTCATGTTGACATGTATCCCTCTGTTCACATTCATTAATATCTACAAACACAAGATGGGTAATTATTGATGGGCAATTTTCTGGAAATCATGCAATGCAAGTGTCTCCAATATGACTAATAGGACATTGAATATATATATATATATATATATATATCCTTTAAAATCTGTGACTTACCACATTAAATCTGAGAAATAGTTTAAAAATCTACATTTTGCACACACAGCATACACACTACATACAATTTAATACATTTGCTTATCAGTTACTGTAATAGTAGCAGTTTACAATACTCTAACGGTTTAAAGATCAAGAATACAATATAACGTGTCATATCGTACATATAAATACGTAGCATTTGACATGAAATCCAAACTCCACTACAGATCAACAGTTACTCTTGTAGTTACCTAGACACTGGCCATTTTTTGCCTTAAAACCAGGAGGGCAGGTATTAGTATCCCTACGACTGCGTGATGGGGCATTGTTCGGTCTGTTGGCCACGTGACGCCCCCCGATGGGGACATATGAGTGGTAACTCTGGGAAGTCAGGCTATGGTAGCGCTGCTGGTAGGAGCTTCGATCAGAGGAGGACTGTGATGTTCTGTACCCATATGAGAAACTCTCATAGTTGGGCAAGCGCTCGAGTCCGGCACAGGATTTGCCATCACCCAGCAGGTGGAGCCCCGGTGGGCACAGGCACTTGTAGCTGCCTTGGCTGTTCACGCACTGATAGGCACAGGGCACTGGTACCAGCTCGCACTCGTTTATGTCTGCTCTCACAACAAGGCCAGCACAGAGATAGAAAAATTTGGGAAAAGAATGTAAAAAAAAGAAAAGGTAGGGAAATAGAGTTAAAATTAAAATGGACAGATCAAAAGAAAAGAAAAAGAAGGGGATGAGAAAAAAATACTGGACATGAGTAGATTTCCCTCAAAAGCAAGTTTCTCATGCAAAAAATATTATTGTTCTTTTTAGGCGCGGTTCATTAGCATATTCATGAATCCACGCATACTAAATTAAGCAAGGGTGTAGTTACATTCAAGCTATTTTAAGTTTTTAGGGATAAAATTATTGACTACAAGGGGACTTTACATTATATTCAGTTAACTCAGTGATTCATTTTCTGAATTCAGAGCTGAAGAAAAACTGTCACTAAAGGACATTCAAAAATTGCCACAGCAAAGCATAGCACTTCTGGGGATAATCCCAAGCAGGAAGTTGAAGGGTAAGGTCAAAGATGATAGACACAGATAGAGGAATGACAGAGTCATTATAGTCGTGCTGGCCTTGCAGTGAGTGTGAATCTACTTGCCAGTGTAATATCACTCACAATTACATTTGTAGCAGCTCAGAGAGTCTTGGATCCTTGATTTGGTATCAGTGACTGTGCCTTCTATTTCTTATGGTTATATTGGTTAGTTTAAAAGCACTGTAGCAATAGACCAATGCTACTTTTGCGTCATCGAAGGGTAGAGTTCAGAACAGTTCTCTGTTCTGAGAACAGAACTCGGTCTAGATCTCAAGTTTCTTGATAGCTAAAAATGCTACGAACTCAAAGAAGCTATTCCTTTGAAATGGTATATTGACTATATGACTTTTCGACCACTGCTCACTGGGCTGCATGTACTGTAACAGCACAAACAAGCCTAGATCAAGCCCTCTAGGCTAGATAGGATAGCGTAATGTAATGTCACAACATCCAATTTGACAGCCCCCATACATACATAGTATACACATTGGTCCTATACATATTTTGCCGTACACTGTAAACCAAAGTCCTAGCCATTTCTAGACACAAGCCTGCCACTATTTCAACAGTATAGTATAGCTAGTCGACAACAAAACTATGTCAATAGCTTAAATCAAGTTAAATATGATCCAAGTGACATGGCCTCATCATCTAGTTTGTCATACTGTGAGTGTGTTAATGACAAAAAAAAAAAAGTCCATATTTAGCCACTGCGTGGGGTCATTGATCCAGTTTTCTACCATTTCAAAGGGACACTTCTGTAACCCCTCATCCAGTGGCTTCTTTAAATACCGCTCACGGTCCTCGGCCCGGCAAAGAGTATGTTTGTGCCATTTTTGCTATCAAGAAACTCTCAGGGGAATCCGTTTGTTTTCCTCCAAAAAGGGGCGTTACCCTTCGAAGACACAAAAGTAGTGTTGGTCTATATAAGCAAGCTGTGTGGAAGGAAGTGATATCACAGGATCTGAATGCTGTTTAGGTGAGGGTTGGTACACAGAAATGAACTGTAGCAAAAGAATGAGGTAGGTAAAGATGAAGGGAGGGATGCAGGTTGGCGTTTGGCAAGAGAGCAGCCCGGGATGTTGGGTTGTTGGGAGAGGATTAGAGTTTGGTGTGGAGGACACTACGTACCAAGGCAGGGGCGGCCAACACCCTGAGAGCGGTACCCCCTCGGGCAAGTGCAGTGGTAGCTACCTCTGGTGTTTTCGCAGATCTGATTATACCTGCACTGATGTGTGCCGTCATGGCACT